CTCTCTCTCTCTCTCTCTCTTTCTGTCTCTCTCACTCTTTCCCTCTCCTCCCGTCTCTCTCCCTCTCTATCTTCCCCCTTTCTCTGTCACCTCTCTCTCACTCACTCTTCCTTGATTGCTGCATGATGTAGGTGTGGTGCGATACAACCTGACACTGGGTGGTAGAGATCTCAACCCCAGTGCAACCTGCAAAGTTGTCATCAGAGACAAAGAGGGCACAGCCATCGCCAAGTCCGCTGGAGTTCAGGGAGAGGTCAAGGTCGCAGACGCCATTTTATGGTGGCCATTCACAATGCACCCGCAGCCAGGTTACATGTACACATTCGAGGTGACCTATAATAATAATAATAATAATAACAATTGTCATAACAATAACAGCAACAACAATAATAATATTCATTTGTACGTCCATCTAGTATTTCACTAACCAACAAACAAACAAAAAATAAATAAATGAAAAGTTGATTGATGCATTAAAGTATTGTCCAAAAACTAATAATTGACTAGGATCAAAAGTTATTTTGTGTGATGTTATCTATAGCAAAAGTAATTTTTTTGTCTTTTTGTAATAACACGAATGACAAATCATAATAAATTAAGATATTTGTCATACGAATTTCGCCGTGTATAGAGTCATTGCACTGCCATCGTTTGCAGGCGCGCTGTGCTGCGGGACAGGAGGGCGTGGAGGATGTATACAGACTCCCGTTCGGAATCCGCACCGTCAACGTCACCAAGTCAGAGTTCCTCATCAACGGGCGACCGTTCTACTTCATGGGATTCGGGAAACACGAGGACGCCAACGTGGGTGACAGCAGATTGTTGGCTTTTGGTCTCAGCTGAATTCTTAGAACTAGGTTGGCACAAGAAAGCCCAACCGAGAAAGCCTAACCATAAAGCCAGATAGTAATGCTGTAATAAGACATTTTTAGAACTAGGTCGACACTAGAAAGCCCACCCATAAGGTAACATAGTAATTTAGTAACAAGGAATTCTTAAAAATAAGTTTACGTGGGAGATCCCACCTGTAAAAGTAAACATTGTAATTTGGTAATAAGGAATTTTTAGAACTAGATTGACACCAGGAAGCCCACCTGTAAAGCAACTTTGTAATTTGAGAATAAGGAATTCTTAGAACTGAGTTTACACGAGAGATCCCACCTATAAAGCAACATCGAAATGCTGTAATGAGGAATTCTTAGAACTAAGTTAACACGCGAGGTCGTCTTCGAGAGATTTGTCTATGTAATCGGTCTTGCTACTGTCACAGATTCGTGGCAAGGGGCTCGACTACGCCCTCATCGCGAAGGACTTCAACCTGATCAGGTGGCTGGGAGCGAACAGTTTCCGTACGTCGCACTACCCGTACGCCGAGGAGATCATGGACCAGGCCGACCGGCAGGGCGTCGTCGTCATCGACGAGGTGCCGGCTGTAGGGCTTCAGTAAGCAATGTAGGGCTTCAGTAAGCACTGTGGGCTTCAGTAAGCAATGTAGGGCTTCAGTAAGCACTGTGGGC